TTCTTCTTCTTCTTCTTCTTCTTCTTCTTCTTCTTCTTCTTCTTCTTCTTCTTCTTCTTCTTCTTCTTCTTCTTCTTCTTCTTCTTCTTCTTCTTCTCCTTCTCCTTCTTCTTCTTCTTCTCCTCCTTTCTTTTTTCTTCCTCCTCCTCCTCCTCCTCCTCCTCCTCCTCCTCCTCCTCCTCCTCCTCCTCCTTCTTCTTCTTCTTCTTCTTCTTCTTCTTCTTCTCTTCCTCCTCCTCCTCCTCCTTTTTCTTCCTCTCATTCTTTTTCTTCTTTTTCTTTTTCTTCTTCTCATTCTCCTCCTCCTCCTTCCTTCCTTCCTCCTCCCTCCATCTTCATCTTCCTTCTCCTCTTTCTCCTTCTCCTTCCTCCCTCTCTTCCCTCTGTTAGGGAAGCTAGCTGGGGAATTCTAGGAGTTGAAGTCCACAGGTGTCAAAGTACCCAAGGTTGGAGCCCATAGATGAATAAATAAAACTTTTATTGGCGTTTCTCTTTTCCCTGGAGGAGGAGGAGGAGGAGGAGGAGGAGGAGGAGGAGGAGGAGGAGGTGGAGGTGGAGGAGGAGGAGACGGTGAGGGAGATTCAGCTGAGGCTTTGGGGGTGAACAAATTCAGTCTCTCCTTTCTCCCTGGTGACACTTCTGGCACACACAGGAACCATGATGCTCACACGCACACACACACACACAAACACACTGCCTTGTGCTTTAGACCTTTCCAGTTCCCGCGCCGCCGAAGGAGACGAAGTCCTGGAACGTTCCTTCTTTGTCCGCCTGAAGTCCACTTTGACCAAGCGAGGACTTCACATCAAGACGTCGGGCTATAAGGTAAAAGTGAGGGCCGGGGTTCAGTGAATGGCCATAAGCCGAGGACTACTGAGAGCGCCCTGTGGGATACAGCGTCCCTCCGCGGCCCCTGATCCCCTCTGGGCCCCTCTTTTGCCCTCCAGGTGATCCACGTCACAGGCCGCCTCCGTTCCCGACGTCCGTCCTATCCCCACGCGGTGCTGGGCCGGGTGCTGGGACTGGTAGCGCTGGCCCACACCCTGCCTCCCTCCACCCTCAGCGAGGTGCGCATTGAGTGCCACATGTTCGTCTTCCGGGTCAACATGGACCTCCAGATCGTGTACTGTGAGAGCAGGTGAGTGAAGGGGACAGTTGAACGGGGGCCTGGCCTGGCCCGGCCAGAAAGGGCTGGACACTGGCAGGGGTGGCATAAGAACCGGGCGCGAAAGTGAAGCCCAGCAGAACACATGGCGTGTCCAGAACCCGACCCATTTGGGGAGGGACGCTAGATGTGAATTGTAACTTCTATGGCCAGCTGACTCAGCCTGGACTGGAATTGGCCTTCTCTAAGCCATGTTCTGTAGTCCACAGTCCAGCTTGGGTGATGACCAGGTTTGGTGCCACCTGATGACCAAGGTTGGTGACACCTGTGACCTGATTTGGTGACATCTGATGACCACATTTGGTAACATGATGACCAAGTTTGGTGACATCTGATGATCAGGTTTGGTGACACCTGATGACCAAGTTGGGTGACATCTGATGACCAAGTTTGGTAATATATGATGACCAAGTTTGGTGACATCTGATGACCAAGTTTGGTGACATCTGATGACCAAGTTTGGTGACATCTGATGACCAAGTTGGGTGACACCTGATGACCCGCTTTGGTGACACCTGACTTCTTGCTCTCTTGAGGGAGTGCTCTGCACACCATCAAGTAGACTTCACTGGCTTTGAAAGGGAGGGGAAGAAACGCAATCTCTCACTGACCATGAAAGTTAGCAGGCAGAGTTCTGAGGGCTCCATCACCAGAGGTTTTCAAGTAAAGGCTGGGTGTCCATTTGCCTGGGCTGATGTGAGGATACCTGATCCCTTCCAATCCTAAGACCCCCTACCTGCCCACATACCCAGCACCTGGACAGAAAACCTGGGAGAACCCCAAGTAGTCAACCCTCCTAGCCTTGGTGGACCCAAGATCTACCTTCACTTTAGAAGGTGTCCTGCCTTTCCGAGAAGCCAGGAAGTCCTGGCCTCCCTTAGAGGAGGAGGAGACCATGTGGATCCTCTCCCCTTCGAGACCACCTACAAGAGTTGAACCAAGTTCTCCTCCTCCTTTAAATTCCACCCCAAACCGGGTCAACAGCTTTCTCCTTCTCCTCCTCCTTCTCTTCTTCTTCTCCAGGATCACGGACTACATGGACTTCTGTCCCTCGGAACTCGTGGGGAAGAGCTGCTATCGGTTCATCCATGGGGAAGACGTGGAAGGGATCCAGCAAAGCCACTTGGACTGTACGTGGCCCCAAGGAGGGCGCAATAGCATGTCGGGATTTACGGATCCTGGGTTTCTTTGCTGGGTTGCAATCCCGGAGGCTTCCTTCTTCACCAGACATTTTAGTTGTCAGGATTCCCGGCAGTTACCCCCAATTAAATCCTGAGTCTCGAGCTAAACTTCCAAACTTAAAAAGGATTTATTAGGAGTAAACATGCCGGCACTGGCCTGGGTGCAGCCGACTCTGAGACACGTAATTCATTGTCCCCCTTGACCCTGGTTTTCCCCCACCCCTTGGGTGTATTATAATTCATATTCTCCAATGGGACACCTCCATAGCCCAGAGTCATCAATCAGGCTCTCCAGTTAGAATTTTGCACCGCAGAAACTTCAGTCACCTGGTTACTATCTCTGAAAAACTATTTATGGAATGCACTTTCGGTTTGCAAGCTGCCACACTGTTCCCCCTTTCTCCCTTTCTGTTGGCAACTCTAAAAAGACCAGACAAGTATTTTACGAGTTGACATTAGTGGCACAGGTAGTCCTCGAATTATGACTACAATCGAGCCCCAAATTTCGATTGCTAAGCGAGACAGTTGCGAAGTTGAATTTTGCTCCCTTTTACGACCTTGCTTGAGACCCTCGTTAAGTGAATCACTGCAGTTGTGTTAAGTGAGCCACACACCTGTTAAGTGAACCTGTCTTATCAGGTTGTAACCCGCCGGGACGCTGCAGCTGTCATAACTATGAGTCAAAAGGGCCATGCGTCCGAATGTTGATCGTGTGACCATGGAGATGCTTCAACGGTCATAAGTGTGAAAAACGAATCGTAAGTCCCTTTTGTCAGTGCCATTGTAACTTTGAGCGGTCACTAAAAGGGCACTGTTGTAAGTCGAGGACTATCTGTGTGCTGTTCAACTTCTAGATAAATCCGGGCAGCTCAGAACCGTCCAAAACAAAGAAATTCCAACAAGAATATTTTTTTTAAAGATAAAAGATGTTAGGAACAACAAACCTCCTATTTCCATGCAGTACCGTGAGCCATTTTATCAGGTACATTGCTCCTGTCTTGGGGAGCTTTGCCCGTCTCCCTAAGCATCACAATTTTTTGTGTGAAGCTGTCTGGAAAACGATTTTTGCATGATTTCATACACTGCTTCTCCCTTTTAGGAAAGGAAATGCAACTGTCTGCAAATAAAGTAATATTTACGGTATCAGATAAAAAAAATGCTGTAAATGCATTTGTTGGTGGAATTCTTGGTGCTGACTTGAGCTTGGCTGTTTGGTTGCAGACATTTCATTACCCAACTAGGAAACTTCAACAGTGCTGGGGGGGGGGTAGCAGAGAAGAGGAGGAGGAGGAAGAGGAAGAGGAGAATTGTGGTGTCCCTTGTGCTGTTTAAGCTTAGTTGTTTTCTTGCAGACGTTTCATTACCCAACTAGCTAACATCATCAGTGTTAGGAGGGAGGTGGGGTTGTGGAGGGAGGAGGAGGAGAAAGGATGTGGGGTCCTTGTGGTGGAAGAGAAGAAGAGGGGCCAAAGGAGGAAGAGGAGGAGAATTGTGGGGTCCTTTGTACTTTCAAAGCTTAGTTGTTTTCTTGCAGACATTTCATTACCCAACTAGGTAACATCATCAGTGCTGATGAGGGTGGGAGAATATATCAGCTCCAGCAGCCAACCTAGATAAGCAGGGATTAACCCCAGACACTCAAGCAGAAAACAATACCTGAATCAAGTGGGGGAAACCACGATGACATTGACAGGACAAGTGACTGCATATAAGCAGGGCACACATCCTTCCTTCCCTCGCACCGGTGACGTTCCCTAGCTGGGTCACAAAATGCCTGCCAGCAAACCGCCTGGCAGTAAACCCCTGCAGAGGTGTGACTGGAGCACGCGGCTGTTTTTGAGCCTTGGCCAAGATGGAGTCTTGTTCTTTCTGCACCCCACTCTAGTGTTGAACAAGGGGCAGGTGGTCACCCACTATTACCGCTGGCTGCAGAAGAGTGGCGGCTTCGTCTGGGTCCAGTCCTGCGCCACCATCTCCGTCAACGTCAAGAATCCCTCCGAAAGGAACATGGTATGGGTGAACTACATCCTCAGGTGAGTAGAGGAACGCAGGTGTGCCGGGGCCCCTTGAAGACTTGCGGACTTCAACTCCCAGAATTCCCCTGCCAGCATGTCCACAAGTCTTCAAGGGGCCAAGATTGGAGGCTACTGCTCTGGCTGGGGAATTCTGGGAGTTCATTATAGTGACCATTCAAAGTTATAACGGCCCTGAAAAAAGTGATGTAATCCTACATCATTTTCCCTACATCCTCCTAATCAGGCGATCCGTCCGTTCGGACACTTGGCAACTCACTCGTATTTATGACCGTTGCAGCGTCCCGGGGGGGGTGACGTGATCCCCCCTTTGGGACCTTCTGACAGGCCAAGTCAACGGGGCAGCCCGATTCACTTAACGACCGTGTTGCTAATCTAAGAGATTGCAGGGATTCCCTTAACGGGGGGGGGGGAGACAGAAAGGTCACAAAATGGGGGCAAAGCTCCCTGAACGACTGTCTCCCTTAGCAACAGAAATGTGGGGCTCGATAACGACGGTTGTAAACCGAGGACTGCCTTTATTCCGTTGCTCTCGCGGGGGGGGGGGGGAAACAGAGGGAGTCCAGCAAAATTTGCTCCCCAAAACATTTAACAAGACGGCCTTCTGTGCTCGTCCACCCAAAAAATTCCCTTAAAGCAGAAACTTAGCTCTGCAGGAATCCTCCCTGCTGGGCTAGATTTCTCCATTTGGGGATTTGGGGTTTTTGTTTTTATTTTATTTTAATTTTAAAGCAGTGCAAACCAGCGCAAGCCTGGTGCAAGGCACAACTTTGGTGCAAGCCTGGTGCAAGGCACAACTTTGATGCTCGGGGCTCTGGGCCCTCTTCTGTCTTCACCCCAGTTTTGCTGCCCCCCCACCCAACCCGCTCGGGCCTCCTTCCTCCCCACCCAGCTGGACCCTTTAAACTGCCGAATTGCCTCTGCTGAGCCCCCTTTTTTTCCCCCTTTCTCCAGGGATAAAAGCCCCGGCTGTGTGAATGGCCGTCCCAGATGGTTATTAATGGCTGTATTCTCTCTCTCTCTCTCTCTCTCTTTTTTCCTCCCCTCTCCATAAAGGCAAAGGAAGCATTCTTATGCTAATCCGGCACGCAATTGCCGATACTAATGTATGATTTGTCAGGGTGATTAGTATTTTAGTTAATTAGAGCTGTAATTAGAGCCTAATTAACTTTCTTGCCGCAGCCTCCCTGCCTGCAAGCTCGCTTGCCTCCCTCTTTCTCTCCCCCCCACCCACAGCTGCCCATAAAACTTTGCATGGGTGCGTGTGTGTGTGGGGGGGGGGATTGTTGGGGGTCCCGTAC